CTATAATGCAATAGAAATTTACAAGTCATAGTAGGACAGATTGTCATATCCTTACTCCACATTTAGTCTCACTTACTTCAGTGGAACTACTCTTGGGTTACTGTTCAGTGGAGTAAGGGGATCACAATTTGACCCAGTGTGATTTCTTTTTAGATGAGTAATACATATATTAGTCATGCATGGGTGAGCATACACAACTGCAATATGTTCTAGTCAACTGTTTGTCATAATGGTTGATAGTAAAAATTGAAATGGTTTTATAAATGATAAATGAAATATGTTTCTGTTTAAAGAATCACAGTGGGAGAAACCTGAAGGATTTCAAGACAACTCTCGAAACTCACAAATGGTAATCAAATGTTATTTGTACTACTTCTTTGTTCTTACGGCTTTCTTTACAAAACTTTTTGCTGCCTAATTGACTTATCTCTCATGCATGTATTATTCATAATATTGAATTCAAACAACCTACATTTTGTGGATCTTAGAAAAATATATTGTAGCTTGAATACATAGAGCTGTGAAACCTACAGTTAAGGTTAAAACTCAGCTTTCATTACCAACTCCTGTTTTCAGTTGCAGATAAGTTTTTTAAAATTATTCTTTTGGAGTCAAACTTTTGATGCTGTGTTTCAGCCAAAAAAGCTGAATCTTTCTGTAAAAAATCAAGCAAATCCTGTTCCGCCTTTTGCAAATTAGTCAACACAGGAAAAAAATTATATGTTCACATTTTAAAATAATTCATAAGATTCTTTTGCTTGGAAATGGTTAATGTTTTAAACTTTTTACATGTGGCTAGTTCTCCTTTAGGAAACATTATTTGTAGGGTATACATGCAGTGTGTGTGTGTGTGTGTGTATACATGCACCCAAAAACTATGTTAAAAGAATGTTAATGTTGCAAAGTCAAGTACTCAAAAGTTAAGAAATGCCAGAATTAAGTTTGCCTGAGCAATTCCACCTATAAGCAATTTAAAATTTTGCTTGTTTCTTTTATGCAGATTAAATAACTTCTATTCGTTTTTTGAAACATTAATTGCAGTAAATCCTATGCAACTATGTAGTGTAGTATTTGTGGAACTCCACAGTGCTGCATATATGTGTTTCTTGCAGCTATATAGTTGCTCAGTTGTGTTTTTAATTCAGCTCCCTGATTTTAGAGTTAAGGTTTCAGCGTATCTAAGGTAGTGTTGCAGTTTATGGAGTTGATTCTGCAGCATTTTGCACGTTATTTTCTTGTTTAAACTACACTGAGGAAATTAAATGGGAAAACTAATAATAAATAATGTGTGTTAAGATTGCAAACAAAAGATAAGCAAACGAAGTAGGAAATTCTAAAAGCAATGGCGCCTTCCCCATGTTGTATGTATGCTGGATTACTAGTTAGGTTCAGAGATTCTCCTTGCTTTACAGCCAGCAGAAAGTTAACTTCCTGAAGAAAGAAGGAGAAAGAGCTTTGTGTAGCTCGAAAGCTTGTCTCTCTTTCACCAACAGAAGTTGGTCCAATAAAAGATATTACCTCACGTACTTTGTCTCTCTGTATGTCCATCAGCATTTATATATCTCTTAACTTATAGCTAAACTTCAGAAAGTTAACTTTCTGTTTAGACCTCACACAAACATACAGGGTGGAGTAATAAACCAGGGCTGTGTACTGAAGTTTAGCTACTATAGTGGTAAGAGCTATATAAATGCTGATAGATGTAGAGAGAGACAAGGTGGGTGAGGTAATATCTTTTATTGGACCAACTTCTGATGATGAGAGAGAGACAAGCTTTCGAGCTACACAGAGCTCTTCTTCCTTCTTCAGGTTAACCTCCTATCTAAAGAAGTTTTGTCTCACCCAGTCTGCAGTGTTTTCCACAAAGGCTGGTTGTGATCTTGTTTTCTTGAATGCATACGTGCTGTCCGTTAACTTCCGATGGGCAGGATGTGGGGGTGTCTTCTTTGCCTTCTACATATACCTCCAAAGTTCATCGTGGTACATGTGGCTTGTTTTTCCTGTGTGCTGCTTCCCTGTTGACTTCACATCTCTTTGATAACATTTAACTTTGTATGTAAGTGGACATCCATTGTGTTAGTATGCAATACTTAATTTACATCCCGACAGAGAGATATACATACACCTCTACCCCGATATAACGCGGCCCGATATAACACGAATTCGGATATAACGCGGTAAAGCAGCGCTCGGGGGGGGCGGGGCTGCGCACTCCGGTGGATCAAAGCAAGTTCGATATAACGCGGTTTCACCTATAACGCAGTAAGATTTTTTGGCTCCCGAGGACAGCGTTATATCGGGGTAGAGGTGTATCTTACCTCCTGGCTGGAGGACAACCTGTTTGTCACCTCTGCTGGTGAATAATGCCTTGCTACAGTCTTCAAAAACATATTTTGTGTGTCTGTGTGTGTTAGAGAAGTATTTTGTTTGTGTGAAGTCTGTATGTATAACTCCTTACATAGGTATCCGTACATACATTTCACAATGATGTTAATGACCAATGTGACTCCAGCTTTCATTCAAGATTCATATTCTTTGGTGAACCAGAATGTACATACCAGAATCAAGATATTCCTGTAACCCCCCTGACAGTTGGCATTAAGGGGTTCTTGGGTCATACCATGCTTAAAGTTAAGCATCTGCTTAAGTGCTCTGCTGGATCATGCCCAGAATGCATCGCATAGCTTTAATAGATCATGCTATAATAGAAAGGGCCAAGTTACGCCACAGGCTATTTTTTGTTGTCCGCTTTCTAGTTATGCACAGCAATTTTTCTTTTGTTTCCTCTTATGTAAACTAATGCACTGTAAAACCACAAAAATAAAACCTTGAGGAAACGTGTTCATAAGGGGCTGTTTTTCTTCTCTGAATCAACTGATTTCATTTCACCAGCATATATACGAAGATTTCTATATAGCAGGGGTCGGCAACCTTCGGCACGTGGCCCATCAGGGTAATCCGCTGGTGGGCCGCGAGACATTTTGTTTACGTTGACCGTCTGCAGGCACGGCCCCCCTCGTGGCCCGCCAGCGGATTACCCTGATGGGCCATGTGCCGAAGGTTGCCAACCCCTGCTATATATAGTATGTGCAAAAATGTTACAAAGCAAATCTTAATTTTTGATTGTCTTGACTTTTTAAAAAAATGCAGTCTAGCATTGCGTGAAGTCAAGACTGTTGTGTATGTGATTAATTATAATCCCACATTAATGTAAAAATAACATTGTGGGCTAGATCAGTGTGCAGCTTAAGGGAAATTTCAAAGGTTCATGTCCAGTATGCACTTCTTAAACAGTCATGACTTTGTTATTAATGCCGTGTGAAAATTAATATATTTTCCAAATAAGGAAATGCCTTAGTCCTCAGTGAGGACTATGTTCATGTCAAGTTTCAGTCTTCAGCCATTGTTGCTAAGCCCTGTGTTGGAAGGAAGGAAGACAAGTGTTGGCTTATTTTTGTTTTCAGTTTGGAGTAGGATTTGTTCAAGTTGTTTTTCTCCAACCCTCACAAAACTTTAAATCTGCTAGATGAATTTTTCTCAGACTTTCTGAGAACTTTTCTGTTAACTTTAGGTCAGAAACCAACTATGGAAAATGTCAACTCAAGCAGTAAAAACAACGAGGAGTCCTTGTGGCACCTTAGAGACTAACAAATAAATTTTAGTCTCTAAGGTGCCACAAGGACTCCTCATTGTTTTTGCTGATACAGACTAACACAACTACCCCTCTGAAACTCAAGCAGTGAATGTTTTGGAAAGCCACAAGCATGTGAAAATAATAATGGGTTAAGTTGTAATTTCAACTGTTTGGCAACCTTAACTACAGTGATTGCTACTGAGCATCCTATTTTTAAAAACTAACTATTTGTATATATGTGTGAAGTATGTGTACCTGTAGAGTGTCTGTGTGCATGTTTGCACATGTATTACTTTAAGTTATAAGGTCCCTATCTAACTCCTAGCAGAGTCAATGGGGAATTTTTCCAAAAACTTTAATATGAGTTGGAGCAGGCCCTAAAAATATCATAATTATCATGACTGGAAAGTACTGGAGGGCTGAATATCTTTATAGTTTGTCAGCAATTATTTGGTTAGTCATTAAAATTTATTCCACTAATTTACTTTCTGTGTGTTTTCATTAGACAGGAGTATGGGTGGAAGGAGTCAGTGAAGATGGTCAGACCTACTATTATAATACAGAGACAGGAGGTAAGCAACATAGTTTTCACAATTGAGCTCTGTCTTGAAAGAGATGGTTTTGTTTTGTTTTTTGTTTTTAATAAAACTTTCTTAGAACTATTTCAAACTTTTGAATCTTTTGAAAATGTAGTAATGGCTAAATTATTCCTGTTGCTTAATTCAGTGTTTCCCTCAGCTGAGAATCATCTGATGCTTTATGCTTTGTTAAACCACTCCTAGTTTTGTTGGCCTACAGGCAAACTGTTGCATAAAGATGAATGGTTTCTTCACCATCCTTGATGGCATGCAAACATAATAATTTCATATATGTCTACACATTCAGTTTGTAACTGTGAAGTATGGGTAGTCCATATACATAATTTTATTTAAAAAAATCTTTGTTTGGAAACCAAAGAGGGACAGGCTCTTGTTTTGTTAGGTTTTGTTTTGTTTTTTTGCTGTAACTTTAGTGCTACAATTGTTGTTGTTGTTGTTATTATTATTATTATTATTATTATTTATTTATTTATTTATTTATATTATAGAAGGGCCTAGGAGTCCCAGTCATGGACCAGTACCTCATTGTGCTAGATGCTGTACAAAAAACAGTCCCTGCCCCAAAGAGCTTACAATCTAAGTATAGGACTAGAGACAACAGATGGATACAGACAAACCGATGGGGGAGTATAAGGATACACTGAGACAATATTGGTCAACATGATAGGCTCTTGTCTCAGGATGCCAGCAACCTAGTTGTTGTCAAATTTTTTGCAGGCTTCCTGGCAAAATAGTTTGAAGGGGGATTTAGTTTTGTGGATGTTTGCGGGGAGATTCTCCCAAGCATGAGTGGCAGCATGGGAGAAAGCATGTGGGTGCTTGTTTTGAAAATGTAACAAGTGGGCAATGGAGGCTGGCATCTTGGGCCAATCAGAGGAAGGAGTCAATCGTTCGATACTGAATGAGAAATGATAGGAAGGGCGGGGATAGGTCGTGAAGGGCCTCGGAAGTGAAGACCAAATAGCTAAATTTGATTTGATAGAGAAGGAGAAGACAGTAGAGGGATGCAAAGAGAAGGGTGACATGGTCAGAGCAACAGGGTAGGGAAATGATCTTTGCAGCAGCATTCTGAATAGATATCAGTGAGACAAGATTGCGTTTGTCAAGGCCAGAGAAGATAATGATGGAGTAATTGATGAGACACAAGATCATGAGAGCCAGGCCGAGAGTGTTAGCTGTGTGGAAGGATAGGAAAGACCATATTTTAGAGATGTTATGTAGAAAGAATCTGCAAGACTTAGCACTCATGTGAGGACCTAGAGAGAGGTCCCAGTTGAAGATGATGCCTTGGTTATGGGCCCAAGTGACAGGTGGGATGGTGATGTTGTCCACAGTGATTGAGAAAGGAGTCGGAGGAAGGACTTGCAGGTGAAGATTAAGAGCTCTGTTTTAGCTATGTTGAGCTTGGGCTAAACCTCGATGAGGAGATGTCAGAGAGACTGGCTGAGATGTTAGTTTGGACAAAAGGGACAGGTCTGGAGTAGAGAGGAGGATCTGTGAATCATCCACACAGAGATGGTACTGAACTTGTGTGTGTGGATGAGATTACCGAGAGATACGGTATAGATAGAGAAGAGAAGGGAACTAAAGACAGAGCCTTGTGGAACTCCCACAGACAGTTGGAGGTCAGATGAGGAGGATCCTCCAAAGAACATACTAAAAGAATTATTGGGGAGGTAGGAGGAAAACCAGGAGAGGACAGAGTCACGGAAGCCAAGGGAGAAAAAGGTTTCAAGAAGATGATCATGGTAAACTGTATTTAAAGATGGCTGACAGGTCAAGGAGGATGAGGATGGAGTATGGTTCTGAGATTTGGCTAGGAAGAGGCCAGAGCAAAAGGTCAAAGAGTGGAAGCCAGATTGGCAAGGATCTAGGATGGAATTGGAGAAGAGGAGCTTGAGACAGCGATTGCAGATAGCATGTTCAATGAGTAGGGCTCTACCAAATTCACAGCCATGAGAAACGCATCACAGACTGTGAAATCTGGTCTCCCCCCTGAAATCTGATCTTTTGTGTGCTTTTACCCTATACTATACAGATTTCAGGGAGGAGACCAACGTTTCTCAAATTGGGGGTCCTGACCCAAAAGAGAGTTGCAAGGGGGTCGTGGTATTGCCACCTTTACTTCTACGCTGCCTTCAGCACTGGGTGGCCAGAGAGCGGCAGCTGTTGGCAGGATGCCCAGCTATGAAGGCATCGCCCTGCCAGCAGCAGCGCAGAAGTAAGGGTGGCAATACCATACCATGCCATCCTTACTTCTGCGCAGCTGCTGGAAGCAACTCTGCCTTCAGAGCTGGGCTCCTGGTCAGCAGCCACCTCTCTCCATTTGCTAGTTTTGAAGGCAGCGCCACCGCCTGCAGCAGCACAGAAGTAAGGGTAGCAGTACCGCAACTCCCCCTACAATAACCTTGCGACCCCTCCACAACTCCTCTTTGGGTCAGGACCCCTACAATTACAACACTGAAATTTCAGACTTAAATAGCTGAAATCATGAAATTTACGATTTTTAAAATCCTATGATCATGAAATTGACCAAAATGGACCATGAATTTGGTAGGGCCCTATCAATGAGCTTAGAAATGAAAGAAGAAGGGAGATGGGGCATTAGTTGGAGAGGCAAGTCTGGTCAAAGATGGGTTTTTTATAAGATAGAAGAGACTAAAGCATGTTTGTACGTGAGGGGAAAGAGCCAGAGGAGAGTCAGCGGTTAAGAAAAAAGTAAGGGGGGGGAATGAGAGTGGGCTGTCTTCACTGATACACTTTACATACTCTCTCTAGCAAGCTTAAATTTCCTAAAATAGAATATATACAATTTGGGAAATTATAGAGTAAGATTTAGATTTTAAAATAATCCAGCCAGTGAAAGAGAACCAATTTCCGCATTACTTCAGTAGTGGACTGAATTTGATATTTGACCAGTTATTTTATTATTGATCATACATGTATAATTATCTGACATGAGTGTAGGATCAAATAATAATAGCCTGGATTGTTTCCTCCTACAGAAATACCAGTGGGAGAGATATTGCAGAGATCCTCTAAGAGGGGGGAGGGATAGCTCAGTGGTTTGAGAACTGGCCTGCTAAACCCTGGGTTGTGAGTTCAGTCCTTAAGGGGGCCACTTAGGGATCTGGGGCAAAATCAGTACTTGGTCCTGGTAGTGAAGGCAGGGGGCTGGACTCAATGACCCTTCAGGGTCCCTTCCAGTTCTATGAGATAGGTATATCTCCATATTGTAGTAAGAGGAGGCCCCTATGTTGATATCACTCGGCTGCGTGCGTGTGTTCCCTCTGTGTGCTGCCCCAGCTCTGCGCAGATAGCTGACCCAACAGACCCGAAGAGAACCCCCAATAACCACAGAGTCTAGTAAGATGCAAAGTCACGTCGACTAGGTTTATTGCGACCTTGGACACAATTGCAGTTCCCCGTAGATTACTTAGTCTGCCGGGCATACTACGAGAAAGTGCCTCTTGGCAATGGACCCGGCTCAGTGGCGGGACTTTCCACTGCCCCCTCGGCCGGACAAAGACACCACCCCAGGGATACATTCTTATACACAGGTACAAACAAGTTACACATCACTCCTGATGTATTGAGGTGCAACCCCTCTACATAACAAGGTACAAGCCCTCTACGTAGTAAGGTGTCGGCTCTCACCTTGTACATGTTGGTTCGATCAAAACATCTCTATCCATCATTTTACCCTTTTGCCCCTGTCATTGGGATGGGTCGGCTTGTTCCTTGAGTGTGGAATGTACAAGTATGCGAATGTTCTGATATCTGGTGTTCAGTAGCTTTTAGGTATGTCTCTTTTTGCAGCATCAGCCCTTTCCTTGCCAGCTTCTGTGAGCAGGGCCTGCCTCTGGCTCACAGCTTAACTTTGCTTTATGTTACCAAAGTCTTGACCATTACTTTAGTTCAGGCCTTAGGCCTCATAGCAGGCCTCTGATACCAAGGTTTATATCTCAGAGCCTCCTCTTACTACACATATAACAGTTTTCCTTAATCTCTTTTCTTGCATAATGCAGCTTTCTGCACACCCCCTCAAAACGGCAACTGTTCTGTCTCTAAACCTTACTGATCTTTGGGACTCATAGTAGGACAGGACTGGCCATATGCAGATTCTCTGCTTTTGTCCCAACTGTGGGGTCCCTTTGTGCTCCCAGGCAGTATAGCTACAATCAAGCCATACTGTTACACTAATAAAATAATACCAACAGGATCTTATAAGAGAGATGAGGCAAAATGCCAGGTTTATTGTAAATACAGAGAGAGAGCGAGAAATCAAGATATGCAATTCAATATTATTTCACTCCCATTCCTTATTCATTCACACACTCATTCATACAAGTTCTGCAGAGTTGTTATAGTTACCAGCCTAGAGGTTGCTCATGGCAGAGTACTGCCAGGTAGCCTGCACACGAGGGTGGAGCCGAGTCCTTGTCAGATGCGCATCCGATGCTCCTGGAGGGTGGTTGCAGAACCAGACTCAAAGTCTTCAGTCTTTAGAGTCTGTTCTTATAGGATTTTGTCCTTATACAAGTCTATGGGAATTGCTTCATCCTGCTGATGTTTGTTTGAGCTGATTATCAATCAGCAGGTGGCACATCCCTAATGTCTGAGTGTTATCTTGTTCTTCGGAGTCTTCAGCCCTCCATTGGCGGGGGGGCACTTGGATGGATTCCGGCCTGCCCTTCGGGGTCATCCGGTTCTCTCTAGTCTGCGCATTCTTCGGCCAATCGAGACTGAAGTTGTAATTCTTAGGCTGGCACTTTCCTGACCATTCATTCTTTATCTAAATCAATTTATCCTTTATCTAAATCAAGCATCCATTCACATACATCCTCTATTTTAACATACATTTATCACTTATTACTTTACTATTTCTTACTTCTAGCAACTCTCAGGATGTTGCAAATCTACTTAAACTTTAGCATACATAGCAAACAAGTTAAAAGCCGTGTTCTGTTTTG